AGCAGCTTTAAATACTGTAACATGTGCTTGGTTCTTTTCATTTGGCAAAAAGGTTTGTGAGAGACGTCCGGTACAGAATAATGGACCAGTTGAAGGCTTGAGAGCTGTGGCTCCGCTTGGGAAGTTTACGACATCTCAAAGAGAGAAATGTATTTATCTTAGCCAGCCAGAGAAATACAGGAAATATTTCACTGTCAGATTTTTCCTCGTTGCACCAGGTACTGTATGCATTTGACCACATTTGTATAGGCCGGTCGTTCAAGACATAATACTTTTCTTGACATTAAGTGACTAATTAACTGGGTGTAGATACAAATAGGCACACACAAGATCCTTCAGTAAAGTAAATTTTTGTAGACGGATCCAACAGAAGAAGAATCTTGTCCACATCTTAAAGTGAAATACACTGCATTACAACTTTCTATGTGTGTCCATTTACTCTTCAGAAAATACTTTAAAAATATGCTAAATTGCAATGAAACTGAATTCATTTCTCTATACGATAAAAAAAAAAAAAAACAGAAATTAATTGTGAGTTAAGCCTAGATGTTAGATGTGTCTGTGTTAGAAACTGTGACCAGGTCATATACTTTTAAAAATACCAGGATCATGGCCAGGCTACAGCACAGAGTTGGTAATCTGAAGTTTTTCAGAGAAGCATGACATTTCTGTTGTCTGTGCCAAATTCCATCACATTATGGCCCCATATAATATTATGTTATTGTATAGAAATAAAAGGAACATTTTGTTTTGGCAGCTGGAGATGACTGCACTCCAAACTGAGTTTAAATATTTGAGCTACCAGAGGCATACTAGGCTACACGCTGAGATGTGATGCTAAATACTCCAACTATGGCCCCGATCAGTCCCAACTAAAATCACATTCTTTCCAAGATGCCAAAGATATGTTTTTTTAAATATATATTTCGCTCCCGCCTGGTGCAACCTGATTACGTGGTCTTTGTCTGATTTATGTTCACATGTCATGTCAGACACAGTAAGGTCAAAAGGGGGCAAGCCTGCCCACCAAGAAAGACAGCAGTTTGTTTATTGTTTACAAGCTGATTTGAGCCTATTAAAATGTCATCGGCAGACATGGTCACGGTCCACCCTGGAATTTAGACTTCAGTGTGTGTGTGTGTGTGTGTGTCCTCGTCTGCATCTGTCTTACATTTCATCAACAAAGTAGTGCAATATGAAAAGCAGGAGACGGAAACATTAAGAGTGAATATGCAATCTTCTCTTGTTCCTTATTAAATTTATTAAATAAAACGGTGTCTGAATCAAACACTCTCAAACAACCACGTGGATAGAAAACATATTGTTCCTGTCACATACCCACCTCTAAGTGGTATGTTGGTAATCAGCAGCCACAGGATCCTTGTTTACCATAAACCATCTTGTGTAGGGTGGGATGAAAGGATGTCTAAACCACCATAGCAGAAGGAAAAGCTGATGAACATCAGAGAGGTTAGCTGGTTGGTGATGGCTCTGTGTGTGGGATGTATTAGTGGAAACAGAGAGCTTTCCCTCAGTGTGACTGTGTCACATGCAGGCATGAACCTATCCCCTGGTTCTAACAATCTCTTAAGGGCTGAACGTCTTCTAAACAGGGTACTAGTGATGAAACTTAAGGTTTGTACTTTACTTAATTATTTCCATTATATTCTACTTTTACACTTATACTCCACAACATCAGAGTGAAATACTGCGCTTATCCAATTCAATTACTTTGAACAATAAGTTTTTAAGATACACACCAATTAACATATTATACAATATGAGTTATTAACAATTAACCCTGCAGTATATAAAGTAAAATCAACTCCAACTTAACTTGCTGCAACACCAATTGCTTACTTATGTTTCCACAGTAGTAATAATAGTCATAATTTTGCCACTCATTAAGTACTCTTACTTTAGATGCTTAATTACTGATCATAATTCTGTGTTTTTACTTGAGTGACATTTTGAACCAAGGATCTTTCTTCTTTAAAAGTTATGCTAGAAGATATAAAAGTGACTGGGAAGTTTATAAAGGTTCTTATTAAAACCTAAAATGAATAGTACATGATGCACCCTATATGGCTTTAATGTGTTAGGCTATGTGGATACAGACAAGCAATCAATGTACATGGGCATAATTGGATGACAGTAAAGTTAGTATAAGTAGCATCTCATGTGATTTCGGATTCTACATTGTGCTTCAGTTTTAAGGTGAAAGCAGTGCACCTAATGGGTTCAGCCTCAGTTACATAATCTTGACCGTGTTCACTGCACTGCTGTCATTTTAATGGATGGGGCTGCTGTGCCACTAACTTACCTCGGTAACAGATCAGTTTTATATTGCATGGCTTTGTTCCCACATCTCCCACGGCTTTGCTATGATCCAACCTGAGGTCTTGATCCCCTGTAAAGCACATATCTGTCTACATGACATCTTTATATTTAATTGCTTCTTTGTTGCCAGCTGTCAGGAGACTGCATTGCTTCTCTTCTGTCATTTGTATTATCTGTACTATCTATGAGGTTCACCGTCTTTCCCTTCGCGCAAAACACTCTTGGCTAGACACAACAGCTCAAATCTTTGTAATTGCCATCATCATTGGCTTTGTTATCAGCCACAATAAGACTCCTATTCTTTATGCTGTCAGTAACAGTAAGGTTGCAGAGCTGTTCACATTGAGTAACTGGGGATAGATACCTTACTCAAGGAAGCATTAGTGACAAAGGATACCTGCTCATGTCAACGGCTATCATGATGAATTTGCATGAGTTTGCTCAACAACAAGTCCTGTATAATGCATCTACAGAGAGCCTCACCATTACATCATTTAATCAGGAAGAAACTTGTTGTTTACTCCAATCAAGTTGAGAATGTTTAAACTTCTCCTGCAGAGAGGGATTTTTGCCAACCAATGCAAATCTTTACTTTTGCTGGCACACGCTAGAAGGTGGCATTTATCATAAAGTTTACAATATGGAAAAATAGAAGTTCTCTTTGCTGATCCTCTCAAGTCTTTGACTCATCCATACTATGGTACAAAAAGTACAGGGGGAATGATTTTGCCTTCTTGGTGATGTTGGAACAGCCACCTCAGGGGTTTGAACTATGAGCCAAAACCAACTGAGGGACAAGAAGCAGTTTAACTATGATATACTGCTGCTGTCAATGTATTTTCCAAATCGCAAAAACTGAACAAAATTATATTTTGTTCTTGTTGACAACCATGTAATTTTACAATTACAGTCATTTGAAAAGATTTGTTACCCACTAACCCAGAAAGTAAAACAGTTGAATATTTCCACCTCCGGAAAAAAAAATTGTCATTTCATCAAACAGCAAAGATACTTCAACACCCAGTTATTGAGGTTTGTATGAGGACTTGAAGTACCACTTTCTCTAAGCACCATTAATGCACATCATCTACTGTCACTTATCATTTAGATCAACACTCAGAGGCCTGTACAGATTTTCCAGCCTGCTGTACAATGTTGCTCTGTACAGAGGAAATGCTGCCTGCAGTTTGTCATGTGTTAATATTTATCCAAGAAAGAAGGAATCCCCTCAAGGCTCTAAAATAATGGGGGTTGTTTGAGAAAACCTTAATGGAATCTGCTGCTATTGTTAAATCTTATTCTATAAAAACTTTTAGAACAATGTCCTGCTGTAACACATGTTGAAAGAAGACCACAGTGCGCCGTTTTGTCTAACACAAGAATTTCATTGTTGGGGTCGTCAGGGGAGGAAAGAGGAGTCTGGGTTTCAGAATACGATTTCAGTCAGACATAAGGTTTAGATTCAGTATAAGAAGGGAATCGTTCCTTTGGTGGGTGGTAAGAAAGTGAGTATGAGCTTATAATCATATAACAACATTGCCACCTGTTGGTATTTGAGTATTACCACAAGGGTTTAAAAATGAAATCAACCTTTCAGTGACTCATTCATTAGTGAAATTACAATAAAGAACTGTAGCATTCACATATTCCATTGTTGTTGTTACTAAACCTAATTTGCAATCAAATGTCTCTGAATGAACATGTGAAAGTCAGACAGTTAGTTTGCCTATTAGGTGCTTATACATATAGCTGAATCTCTTCAAATGTAATATCTAGCAGCTTGATCACGCATTACCTGAAATCTCAGACAAAGCAAATTAATCAAAACCACTGTTGGCTACAGAAAAGTCAGCTACTTTGAAAGACAGTTTTCTATACCTAAGTATTGCTATGTTAGAATTCATTCAAATGTGATAAACTATACCATCATGAGTCCTCAAATGTTTATAGTTATGTAATGTGATATTCACTTACACTATGGACAAAATAAGAAAAACAGAAGAACACTATCCAACAGAATAGCAACATTGTAGAGATGTCTAATGTTCTGGTGTTCACTAAAATGGTGTGTGAGATTTATTCTATAAACACAAAATAAAATGGACATCAGTAGGCACAAAATACTGGCAGCATCCAGGAGTTAAATACTTAAAAAAAAAAACTAAATCATTTCTGAGAATATTTTCTCTGTCACATGTGTATCTTTTATTTTTCTAATTCTTTTTAATTCTAATAATGTGGTTATAACTTTTCAATTGTAAAAGATGGGTGGGATTAGAGCTGCAATAACTTGTAAATTAACTGAGTAGTTGATCATCAGAAAATTAATTATCAACTACTTTGATAAGCGATTAACCGTTTTGAGTCATTTTGTCAGATAAAGGATGCCAAATTCCCTGGTTCTTGGTTCTCAAATATGTTTTTGGTTTAATTGGTATTTTATGATACTAAATTGAATGTTGGGGACTGGGCTGTTGCTCTGACAAAGTGTGTATATGAAGAAATCACCTCGGCGCTAAGAATCGAGAAAATTATCGACAGATTAATCGATAATGAAAAAAATCGTTAGTTCCAGCCTCAGTCATCATTTTACACTCCTGGTCAACAGGTGGCGACATTTTCAGTCTGTATCATCCTTCCTTGGTGGTTTTGCACAACATTTTCAAATCCAACATGGCAGCCCTGAGGATAGCATGTTCAGGGTTAAATGCCCTTTATTCCTCTCTCTGCGCCCCAAAGCAGGTAACTTCCCCGTTTTAGGGTGGTATGTTGTGGTTTAAGGTGTTTTGTTTAGACCGCATGGCATATTAGCGACAGAAGGAAAGTGAAATCAATGCTGACAGTGTTAGTGGTTAGTGGATCTAAGTAGCTTTCTGACGTTAGCTTCGCAACTAATGCTCAGTAACGTCTTTTACACTATATCTAAATGAAGACCTGTTTCTTCAGAGGCAACAGCAGCGGAACACTCTGATTGGGTTAAAATATAAACTTTTCTCACTGGTTTTGTCTGTAGAAGCTTATATAAGACTGACAGTGACTTTAAGCTTTACTCACATTCGTCTGTCCGTTTTTCAAGTCAACTGAAGCAGATGTCAACAAATCATTACGACACTTTGACTGTCTTAATTCAACAAATAAGTCTCAGTGACTTGAAATGTTAGCATATAGGGACAGACAGTCAGTGTTCACTTAATCATCAGTTTACTATTTCTCACCTGTGCTAACTGCTGCAATTTAAACATCAGCTCTGCCATAAATCCTGCCTGTGCGAAGACATTGTGTGGTATGTTCAATTATATATGTATAATAGGATATATTATAATAGGAGGTGTTGCACTGGACTACATTACATTGAGAGGTGTTCCTAATTTTTTGTGTTGCAGACTAGCATACTACCATCACTAACTGTGACCTCAGTGCGTAAAAATATAATTGAATGAACACCTCTTTGACAGTGTCAAAGAATAACATTATAGCCATTATGGAAGTAGACTTTATGGCATAACAGCTGTATTGGATTGCAGTAGATTGTGCACTTGCACCTCAGGAAGTTAACACTGTATGCAGCCCTCAGGGTAAAACATGTAAGCGTAGAATATATCAAGGTGACAGAGGCTATAGTATGGTTCAGATATAGAAACAAAGCAACAAACAAGCATTCTCTTTTTTTACAAATTCATCTTGAAGAAATACAGTGCACTATCTAAGAATGTGAAAAATTGCACTATTGACAATGCATCGCTCCTTTCCCCTGATCTGAACTTGGACAATAATACTGTCCTGGCTGGCAGAACAGAGGAGTTTGTAAATATTAATATTAATATTTATTTAATATTTTAAACATTCAAGCAAAAATTTTAGTAAATTAATTCACTGTATAGCCTATGACATGAGCTCCATGGTTCTTTTACTTGACTTTACCGTTTTCCTCTTACTACAAAAATGCATGAACTAATGGCAGTATCAAGTGTATTTGTCTATTTAAAAAAACTTGTTTTCTCCTTTAATTTCTCTCAATAAACTATAGAAAATTACAAATTCTTAGTACTTAATAATTTTGCCTCCATCTTTTGGGCATACATATTTGATAGCCAAATAGAATATTAACCAATGCTACAAGCTCATATTTCCCCTGAGCATGATCTATACCTTTGTGTTACAAAAATGCTTCAAGAACAGCCTTTAACATTAGTCTCAGATCTTGTTAGACATTTACTTTGAGCTATTCATGCTATAGCACATAATATTAGCTGTCGGTCAGTAACAACTGCTGGAACATTGTGTGCAGGCCCTGAGGAGCTGCTGGGGGTCTGTGGAGCAGGTGAGAGGTTACTACGTTAACTGGAGGATGCTGAGGGATGTCAAGAGAAGGCAGATGGCCTTTGATTATGCTGATGAGAGGCTACGGATCAATGCACTGAGAAAGAACACCATCCTACCCAAAGAGCTTCAGGTAGACTGCAATATTTCTAACTATAGTTGTATGAGTGACCTGCCAAAGTTATATATGATGCAAGGGAATGCCAGCTGAAATCCCACTCAATTTTGCTGTCATTGGTCAATTGAAAAAAATTTAGCCTGCATCTTTGTGCTCATCTCAAAATAGCTACATTTTTGTTAACTGTCACAACTGTGTCTTTTGTGGTCATCATGGGAGATAATGAAAATCAATATCCAAAATTATTACAAATTGTTTAAAATACATAAAAAGACTGATTTCATTTTTTAAATCTTTGCAGGAAGTGGCAAATAAAGAAATTTCAGCACTACCCAGAGACAGCTGCCCTGTGAGAATACGCAACAGGTGTGTGATGACTTCCCGACCCCGGGGAGTGAAGCGGAGGTGGCGAGTGAGCCGCATTGTCTTCCGTGATCTAGCTGATCACAACCAGATGTCTGGGATTCTGAGGGCAAGGTGGTGATTCTGGGTGTATGGGACACTACAGTCGGATTGGATCATGAAAAACAGGCTGTGACAATGGCTATGATCAGAAGAGCAGGACATCACCATTCAATATTGACTTGTTTTGGAGTCTTTAAAGGTATTGACTATAATAAAACAGTTCCACCACCACCCACAAAAGCCTGGAACGTGTTATAGTGAATTCACTGAGATTACTACAGCATGTTTCCAGTATTTCTATATGATAACAAGGAGATGAGTATGTCATTTCTGTAGATTGTTTGTCCATGTTTCCTTATTGCTCTTCTAAATATGAAAAAGTGGACCACATGCCCATGTAACTAACTGTATGCAGAAATGGATAAATAAATATTGTTGCACATCATTAAGTGTGTGTCAGTTTCTTGTAGAATGTAGATGTTGATACAGAGATGATCAATGATCTATAGAGTAATTAGTATAAATATGGTAGAGGGAAACCATGTTGTCATCCACCAACAAAAAGGACAACAGGTTAGTCACCCATTGAAAATTTTGACTGACAGGTATCACCTAAATTGAGAGCTGTTTGTCCTGTAATAGTGTGAATGGCAGCAAACCCTGCATCCATTCAAATTAAGTTAAAATGTTTAGTCTGAAAGGCATAATAAAAAATAAAGTCATGTAATTAAGTACTTCAAAGAAGAAAGTAAGGTAGTTTCATTCTTACATTTTATGTATGTCAACACTTTAGTCCGGTAGGTGGCGGTAGTGCGCGTATAGACTGGCTCGCCGACCACCAACAATCAAAAAAGAGGAAGAAGAAAGCCCTGCAGACACAGCAGAGAAAAGAACACACTTCTGACCCAAGCCAACATAGAAGATAAAACAAAGCCTAAATGGATCTAACCGAACAGGTGAACAGCATTTTTATTCAGCTTCGTATGAACACTGACAGAGCAATACTAGGGCTTGTATAGTATAAATTGAAATGGCTGCGTTTACATGATTCCACTCTAAACAATGCTACGGTAGCTAATGTTAGTTAACTTAGCTAGTAGCAAGCCATCGCTAACGGGCAAAGTGATCTATTATTTTTTATCTGGACTTTTGGTTAGCAGTTCATTTTTTAAACTAAACGTGAGCGCTCATTCACCTGAGATGATAAAAGCGCCTAGTCATGTTTGTTGGTGTTTGTCAATAGCTTTGACTAGTTTATGAGAACATTCTAGCAACGTAATGCTAACGTAGCTAATGTTAGCTAAAGTCATAGTACATTATTTGTCGTCATGGCATCGAGATGTAAGTAGAGTTTCAAGATAATTTTTGGCTTCAATTTTATACAGAGGGGTTCAAGAGTATGTTAGATAACCAGGCATAGGGGACAGTCTATGGTATCTTATGACTACCAACCACTTGATCTTCCCTCACGTGTAGTAACAGGGTAACCACTTGTTTCAAGAGTGTCAGTTCCAAAGAAGCAGTAAACTTCTATTTAGTAGGATCTCCGCCCTCTAACGGGTTTTACTATTGGTTAACCCCTCCGAGGCTCCGCCTTGGCACCCTGACACAGAGCTTTGTACTTACTGACCAATCAGTAGTGTTCCTTTAGCCCCAGTAGCTCCCTTTTTCACTCAGCCACCCTGACAACGTGTTTCTCCGAGGAAGATTCTATCACCCTCAGGTGGAACTGTTTTTGCTGCTTTGGCTGGCGCCACCAAGCTGAAACTGATTCCTGCCCCGCCTGTGTTGCACTCCCTCGAGAGGTGCATGTACGGCGGCTGCAGTTCACTGAGTCCATCCACTCCCTCCACACCAGCCAGGTGCTGGTGAGACCCTGGGATGAGTATGAGGAGGAGGACCTCATCTCTGTTCCTGCCTCCTCCTCGCGCTGAGAGCCAGGAGTACAGGGGTGCTGGCCCTGTCCAAGCCTCTGTCTCAGGCTTGCATAATGCAGAGTATTTTACTGTCAGTATACGGTGTTGGCTCAAGCCTTACACCTTCCCTAAAAAGCAACATTCCTACAGTACTTGCACTGTACAGGTATCGGATACTAGTGTCATTATGCAGGAGAGGCGCCTTATCAGAGAAGGGACCCTCCTCTCCCTTCTTGGCTGATGTAGAGCTGACAGTGAAGGGACAGTGTGTGATGCCCGCTCCTCCTCACCCACCCCACACAGTGTCAATGCTTTCATAAGTGAGAAAGGTGGGGCAAAAATAATCAGTGTAGCCTCACCTGCTTCACATGCTGATAATGCTAACTCAGCTGCTAACACACAGGCTGTGTATGCGGAATCACAGTGGAGAAGCCACACACCTGCACTGGTTCTCCCTCTGGCATGGCAGCACCTGTATTAGGTGCATCATGACTGTCAGCTAATGCCCTGTTTATGTCCCATTGGCGGAGCAGGCACCAACTTCATGTTCCACACATGCTTAATTCAAGGATTTGTATTTCTCAGTGGTCTACTGCTTTCCCCAATGCAGATTAACCAGTTGGAGGCAGACTTGCAGGAGTTGGGGTCACTCTTGGAAAAGTCAGAGAGGCAGCGAGTGCAGGAACTGCTAAGACAGGAGCAGAAGAAGGTGGAGAAGGAGCTTTCAGTCAAACGACAACAGAAGGAGCAACAGGCCAGGAGACAAGCTGACCCATCTGCAGCCTCTAAAGCAGCATACACGGTCAAGATTACCAACTATGGTATGGTGCCATTGTTCACTAAGACTCTCTGTCATTTGTGAGAAAGTGCAACTGTGTGTGTGTATGTGTGTGAGTAAGAGAGAGAGAGAGAGCTGGAAAAGTATTTGAAAGTTGTTCACACTTTTGCATCTTCCATGTAGCCTGGGACCAGTCAGAGAAATTTGTTAAGATTTACCTCACACTGAAGGATGTGCACAAAATCCCATCGGAAAATGTGGAGGTCAACTTTACAGAAAGGTAATCAGCACACACATATACACATATTTAGTGTTCATCATTTGTCATGTGTTACTAACCGTACAACTGTATTTGCCCATTCTCTCTGCTGCAGGTCATTTTCTGTTCTGGTAAAGGATCTAGATGGGAAAAACCATCAGATGACAGTTCTCAATCTGTTATATCCAATCGATGAAAAGGACAGCTACAAAAAGGTTAATAAAGAACAACAAAACATCTTCAATTAATTTACAAATTTTTTACATGCTCAAGCTGTTTTGTCTTCAAAGATTTTTATCATATTATCATGCACACGAACATGCTCTTGTATCGCTTCACCATGTTCTGACATGGCTCACTTCCAACTATTTAGCCACTAGAGGGCAGAAAGTAGACTCTAATATACTGTATTGACTTATCAGCGTCTGACGGTCAAGGTGTTGGCTAAGATCAGATGAAGATGGCTCTCTTGTTGTACCTTTTTTGCCAGCTGTTTAGTGGTGTCTCTGTTCACAATTCCTGAAGAAAATATTTGGGTAACTTTGTCTCCCTCCCTGCAACAGATAAAAACAGACATGGTCCTGCTCATGTGCAAGAAGCAAACAACAAAGAAGTGGGAGTGCCTAACAACGGTGGAGCAGCAGTCTAAAGAAAAAGAGTAAGTTTAGAAAATAATGTGATGAATTTTAGTTTTTGTAATTTGCATTAATCCAGAATTTTAATTGAGGTTGAACAAGTTCACAAAATGTATGGCACAACACGTACAAATGCATAAGCAGCAGCTAATGACACACTGGCATGAGTAGTTACATGAAGAATAAACAGTCAATCAGTGGTAATTTCACACCTACATCTGGCCAATCACCCAAAACAGCACTCCTTGTGAAGCACATTAAAGTGCAGTACCAGATCTATGTGCCAGGTGTCGCTGTGTATTAAGCAGAAAATATACGTATCTTGGGTGCACATACACACAAGATGAGAGTAATAATCCAAACAATTCAGAGAAACACATACACATTCTCATAGTATTTCTCTAATGCCTCTCATTAGTAAACCCAATATGGATGAGAATGCAGACCCCAGTGAGGGCCTGATGAGCATGCTGAAGAAGATCTACGCAGAGGGAGATGACGAGATGAAGAGAACCATCAACAAAGCCTGGTCAGAGTCCCAAGAAAAGAAGATACGAGGAGAAGAAATGATGGATTTCTGAACTGCACTCGCTGCGAGAGCAAGTGAGATCATCCAGGGCTGCAGCAGGCACAAGCTGAATATTTAATGATAGCGGTTAAAACTGAAGTCCCAATATGTGAATTATATTTCCCCAAAATCTAGAATTTAGGTATACAACTCATAGATGAGTTGGCAGGAATTATGTGTAAGCCCTGAATGGCCTCAGTTTGACTCTGCTTTGAAAACCAGGCTGTTGATGTTCTGTCAGTCATTGGTCATAATGCAGAAACCTGTCGATAAATGAAATGGAAAATTTCTATAGCAGTACAAGGGTGCTGTTCACCAGATGGAACCTAAACACAGCAAGAAATCACAGTTTCATAACTGTTTTTTTTGTTGTTGTTTTCTTTTGGGTAAGGTTAATTTTAAAGGGTTAAAGGACCACAATGCAGTTGTTTTTTTTTTTTGTTTTTTTTTAAATAAATGCCTGTCAGTAGAAGATGGTTTGAATTCGCCCAGGGTAATTGAAAAATGTAGTACATGTATATGTTCTGTGAAGGCACTTGTTAATAATGTCCCTGTGCAGAATTCAGTGTAGCTAAACTGAACTCATATTTAGGATGTTTTCAAGTGTACATTTGCCAAAGTCACGTTTCTGTTCCTACAGTGAAGACAACCAGAGGGCCCTTCTGACTGTTCGTGTCTTCATATTAGCCTTTGATTTTTTTTTTTTTTTTTTTTTTTTGTCATTCCATAAATAGATCAGATGATAGCTGCAAAGACAGTCCTACTCATGCGTCAGTCCAGTGTAATAATTCACATTACTGGGTCTACGCGGGTATGTGTTTGATATTTAATGTATTCAATTCATTCCTGTTGCATCGTGTAACGCTCTAAAACATTCTTTATATTTACTTAATGTGGCGGTTGCACTTTTATAGTGATAGAACAGTTTCATACTATAATTTGTATTTATGGTTAAACTGTTCACATTGTGGTTTTCCCGCCAATATTTGTGAAAATGTAAAAATCTACATTTCAATTATGTTGATATTTTCCTTTGGCTTATGTCATCCTCTTAAATGTATTGTTGCCCGCCCTCAGGTTGCTCATGCAGTCAAACAAATATAATTCTTGAACTGAGTTCTCTTTGTCTCAGTTTGTCTTCTGTTTTTGAGGTTAGAATAGATTTTATTCTATTTATTAGACATTTGTTAGGCCACATCACATGTTTCCACTGGAGTGTTTGAATTTTGTATAGTCATAAGTTATACTGTATATACCTTCACAGAGGCCTGCCTCCCATGAAAAAGTTAGTTTTTTATGTTAAGACTGTCTCTACATGAAGTTAATTTAAATTCATTTTAAAAACAAAATCTGATTTACAAAAACAAAAAACATTGCACATTAACCTTCACCTAAACATTAGAAAGATGAGCCATGTTCCAGATACTGTTTGACCAAATTGGTTGCTGTTGCTGGTCACCTGTTTCTGATGCACTCCAACTTTCATTGGTTAATGGCCTGTGTTGCTTTTATAAACAGTCACAATACAATTGAATAAAGGGAGTTTATACAATTAAAACCCTGCAGGGCATAGGCTTTGGAGTTTTTCCACCACCAGGTGGCAGCTGCAATCAGTACTTCACTTGTTTCTCAGGGGATCTCATACACACACAAGTTTTTTTTTTTATTGTAGGAATTGGAGCTTTTATTTTGTAGCTTCTGATGCTTTTAGCAGAATAACAAACACATTTCTGCGCCTGCAGTTTTTATGATCTGCAGGTGCTGAAGAATTGTTCATCATACAATTGTTTACAGAGAAGAGTCATAGGAGCCTTTGTAATATTTCCATGTTAGTGTGTCTGTTATCTAACAAACTGAAATCAGTTTGTAGGTATTTTATGAGGAATTTGCTCAGTGATGTCATTGACAGTCTATAGGACCAACTGCTAGAGGTAGCTACTGTAAAAATGCTAATAATAAAGGCAGAATCATTTAGGCTGGATAAGATATTCACTCCCTCACTTGCTTCTCTTAACATAATCCCTTAAATAATGAAAGAGCAAAAGTTAATAGCTCAGGTTTATCTCAGGAGATTAAGTAAAATGACAGTTCTAGAATGAAGACTGTCTTCACAGTTTTCACCATCTGAACTGCCTTGCAGGAGTCTCTTTGCCACATTCAATAAACTTAGTCTCCAGATTAAAGATGACAAACAGTGGAAACCCCCCTGCTCGGGTCGCAGCGTGTTACTGGCCTGGCCTGGCCTGGCAGCAGCAGCTGAGACACCAGCTGCATCAGCGAGAGTCAAAACCTTTTTTTTTTTTTTTTCAGTAGCTGTTTCATTCATATTTTTCTTACATTCCAGATAATGTTTTGATTGAGTTTCTGTCTGGGCAAATCGTCTGGACTTTCTCCACCAGTGCGCCATCTCCCCCCGCCCACTGCCCCATGACGTCGCCGCTCGCCTATATAGGCGGAGAGAGCCGTGCCCCGACACGCCAGATGGATACAGTTGGGAGAGGCGGACGCACCGTTACGCACCAGACCAACTACTGAAACAAATAAGCGAAAGGGATAAATATACTTATTTATATATACAACTTTACGAACTGATCACTTCTTCTGTGTTAAATGGATACCGGTTGTTTCTCCGCGGCGCAGCGTATTTCGTGCCACACCATGAATGCGGATTTATTTAAGCCTGTTCCGGAGCGTGGACCCCAACAGTCCTCTGTCCCGGTGAAAACCAGCAGGAATAAACCCGAACAAACCAAACCGGAGCTGGCCCAGGTGGTGACAGACTCCAAGACGGGGAGATCTTACAGCAAAGGGAAGCTTTTGGGAAAGGTACGAAGATTTTAATGTTTTACATGTGAATGTCTCGCTTCTCCACCGGAATCTTTCGGAGGCGACAGACGGATGTAGAATCCGTGTGAACGACTCGCTGTTTTAGTTTGCTACGGATAGGCTTCGTGTTTAAAAAAATCATTATCAGCTATTTTCCAGGTGTGTTAGCCTTCTGATGCGGGAACAGGGAATGACCTCGTGGTGGATGTGACCAACCTCCCCCTTGCTGTGCGCGTCATTGCTGAATGAATCAGGCGCAAGGTGTGCCCAGCTCCTGGGCGCACACATGATTGGCAATACCTATGAAACCCGAAGAGTTATTATTTACAAGAATCCTTGCGTTTTAAACGGCACCTCCAAAAGAATTTCAAACCAATAACCCCCAATCCGTCTGACTGTGCTGTTGTTCCTCTCCCTCACAATGTAGCCGCTGTAATGATTTTTGACACCATATGTGCAGTGTATGAATGGAGCGGCTGTATCAACATGTTGCTAGTCATCGATACGCTGCGTCGGGCAGCCAGCCAAAGCTTTCTTTTTTTTCATTCTCTCTCTCTCTCCCCCTCCCCCTCCTTCTCTCTCTCTCTCTCTCTCTCTCTCTCTCTCTCTCTCTCTCTCTCTCTCTCTCTCTCTGCTGCCTGCCGCAGAGCTGGAAACGTCTCCGTCAATTTCACGGTTAATGAATGCAGCAGCCTGGTCTGCCTCATCCTTCATGTCCTCGAGCCCTATATACTCTTGATTGGTTCAGGGTGAATGTATGAAAAACCAGCTGTAAACATGAGATTTGGGGCTGATTGTCGGTTTTAGAAGCACATCAGAACATCCAAGGCAACAAGAGATGCTGATCACCTTGATTATGAAATGGCTCATCTGACTTAGATTTAACCCTTTTTGATATGTTTAATCCTGGATTTCAGATTCCCTCACCTGTTTAACTGACCCTCTGCCTCCACATCAGAATTGGCTAAATCATTGTTGAATCATTTTGATTGCTGTATACATATTGATCCTTGGATCAAAGAGTTGCCATTGAGACAGTTTATTTATGGCCATTGCAGGTTTTCAACCTGCTGCTTTAACTGATCCTCATGTTTGTCTCCCCCAAGGGTGGCTTTGCTCGATGCTACGAGATGACAGACCTCTCCAACAACAAAATGTATGCCGTGAAGGTGATTCCACAGAGCAGGGTGTCCAAACCACACCAGAGGGACAAGGTACACGATCATACTCGATTGTTTTATCAGTGTGTCTTGCAGAGAGTACACTTCATAACCTTACTGCAAGTATCTGGATTTGTGTTAGGTTTGAAATATGCCCACAAATTGATTGATTGTCGAATTTTGACAGATTACGAATGAGATCGAGCTGCACAAAACCCTGTCACACAAGCATGTGGTGAAATTCTCTCATCATTTTGAAGACCAAGAAAACATCTACATATTCCTTGAGCTCTGCAGTCGGAAGGTGAGACCTCAGAAATCTCTAGAACGGTCTGCACAGGTTTCATGTCTTTTGCTTGCATGTGTACAGCTTGCTTTGTACTGCTCTACAGTGGTGCAACAGGAACAAACACAGAATATTATTATGATTTTTTTTTTTTTTTTTTTACTGAGTATTCATTTTTAATAGTCAAATCACCACTGACTTAGTCCCAGGCACCTTATTTGAATGCTACTGCGGTGTGTGTGATTATGTGTGTGCGCAGCAGTGTTGTACAGTCCACTGACGGATGCGGGGTTGACAGTTCACTCATTGCTTTGTCTCTGCAGTCCCTAGCACACATTTGGAAGGCCAGACACACACTCACAGAGCCAGAAGTGCGATATTACCTCAAACAGATCATATCCGGCCTCAAGTACCTCCACAGCAGAGGCATCCTACACAGAGATCTCAAACTAGGTATGTGATCATATGACTGAAACCGTGGCGTATACGCACACACAAGCATCCCAGGAATCTGCTGTGACTTTGGGCAGGCACATGTTATTTGTGGAATGCTGACTGGACAAATGTTTTTGTCTCTTTTAGGCAACTTCTTTGTCAACGAGAACATGGAACTGCGGCTGGGAGACTTTGGCCTCGCCGCCAAGCTGGAGACAGTCGAACAGAGGAAAAAGTGAGATTTATTTATTTATTTATTTTATTTATTTATTTTTTAATCTAAAGTTGTTAGCCACAATCTCTCACCTTGAAGAAAAAATTTATATCAAAATCATAAATGGCTCAGTTTCTCAAAATTAACCCTATTATATATTGATTAATTTATTTATTTTATTTTTTTCTTTGAAGTTAAAAGCTATACACATTACTTCTTGAGGGGTATCCATATGTTGAACGATACAGGCTTAGCCATTTTCTAGGCTAAAACCATTACGTCAGCTGCCAAGCACACTTCCTCCCACCAACCCATCACCCTCCCACCCCCTCAATAAGTACCTAACCAAACCGGTTTCCAAGTGGCAGTTGAATGTAGCGGTTAGATCACAGTTTCAATACTTGTTTGACACCTTCCTGTGGAATACCAGAAGAATGACTGCGACAGAAAAAAATGTTTCAACCACCACTTCCTTGTCAGCATGACACATCAACAGAACAGAAAATGAATTGAATAGTTTGAGGCATTAAATCTATTCTATACTTTTTTTTTTTTTTTTTTTTCTCAGAACGATTTGTGGGACTCCCAACTATTTGGCCCCCGAGGTGCTCAACAGACAGGGCCATGGCACAGAGTCTGACGTTTGGTCTCTTGGATGTGTCATGTAAGTGTTTTCTTTTTCTTTTTTTTCTTGTCATGTGGACAAAGTCATATGACAATAGTACAGTGTGAAATCGAGGAATCATTATTTTTGTCTCTTGATTTGACCAATGGTTGGTTTGGTTTCTCCTATTCAGGTACACACTGATGTGCGGCAATCCTCCTTTTGAGACCCTTGACCTGAAGGAGACTTACAAGTGTATAAAGGAAGTTCGGTACAACCTGCCCTCCACGCTTTCCCCCGCTGCACAGAAACTCATCTCAGGCATTCTGCAGAAAAACCCCAGCGACAGACTTTCACTGGATCAAATCCTCAACCACGAATTCTTCACCAAAGTATGTCATACTGCTTGTGTCCGTTTTAATGAAGCTATCATCAAATGCTAATGTTTGTTTAGGGAGTGGAATCGGCACACGATGAATCATTGTTCTCACTGAGAACAAGGTGTGTGCCTTTTTACTTCCCTCTTGCATCTTCCTCACCTTTCTGTCTGCCTCTTCCTCCTCTAGGGTTTCACCCCTGATAAGCTTCCCCCCAGTAGCTGTGTAATGGTGCCAGAGCTCCACCCCCCCAGCCCTGCCAAGAAATTCTTCACTAAAATGGCCAAGAGCTTCTTTGGCAAAAAGAAAGCAAAAGGTAAGCAGCAGAGCAGCAAACGAGTGATTGACACAGTAGAACAGCAGGTCATTCATTCAGCAAGTAACTGGGTTAGTAACATATTTGTCCATTTCTGTAAATGTAATCATGTAGCATTTATCATCTTGTTCATCTGGTTTTCTCTCACGAGAGCTGTTGTTTTTAAAAGTGTTTTTAAGCTGAACAACCAGGTTGTATTCAGCTTTAGTTTCCCTCTGACCATCTCTACTGTAGGTATTTAAGAGCTTCTAATGCTGGAACATATTTGTTGTGACTACAATGTATGAATCTTGTTGTTGCAGTGGAGAAGATTCCATGCGAGGAAAAAGATGACAAAGACATTTCCAAGCTGGTGTCTGGCATCGTGAAATGTTCAATCAAACACCAGATCAGCTACAAGACAGTGGGACCCAATGAGGTACATCTTTTTTCTTTTCTTTTTTTTTTTTCCCTCTACTTCTGTAAGAAAAAAAAGTTGGATTTGTTAAAATGGGGTAATCCCAGCTACTAATAAAGTAATCAAGTCCCACAGCAGTTCTCAGCTGGTCTTAAAATCTGCAAAGGGATGAATGAAGTACATATTTTCATCCCATATGACTGATAATTGCTTTGCATCCAGTGTTTGAAGTGAGCTTAAAACCTTGCCAACATGTTATTTTAAACAGTAAAAGCATCTTATAAATGGAACAGTGATGGAGACGGGGTGAATAAATGACTATATGACTATTATATGATGGAGAGTGTTTTACCTCAGAATAGCATTGCAAATCTAATATATAATATAATATGGGGCAACCTATTATTTGAACAATGGATAAAACATTTGACCTCACAACCTTCTTGTTAAAAGGATTCTAGAAGTTTGTTTTTTCTGGCTGTTTAGCTGAGATTGCAGTATAAGATGCTGTGTTGTCCCAGAAGTCCTTCAGCCTGTCAACAGACAAGTGAAAGTCAGAGGAGAAATGTAGCACAGTCTGTCATGTTGGTTGTAGCTGTTACTGTCAGTAACAGGCGAGTGTCTGTAGTATGAATCTGAGGAAACTGTTATCACAGACTGGTTGAATCTATCTGGCTTTTCAAGTCAGAAGTACCCCATTTACTCCTTTTGTTCATATGTTATGCATAAAAACACGGCACGCTAACAAACAGATTACAGGCTGGTAATTTTAAAACAGGTTTTGTGGTAACATGACATGTGAAACTAAATATCATAAATTTAAGGTGCAGCATGCTTGAACACACACAGAATCAAACTGTGGTGCTTAAAGTTATTTCAGTTCAGTGGCAGTAATATGCCTAAGATTAAAACTTTCGAAACCAATGAGGCTACGGCAGTTCAAGTTGTAGCAGATGTTAAAAAAAGAAGAGCGGCTTTGCTGTTCTGTGTTTAGACCCACAGTCGATGAGCAAGCCTTGCTCATGCAAATTATTTTGAATCCTGTGTGAAGTTTCTTTTGCCATGTCATTTTTTTTTTTTTTTTTTTTTTTCCTCTGCTCTTACCATCACTTTGTTCCTCATGTCATGAATGCGTGTTGACTCATCTGTTGTTGCTGCTCAGGTGCCCTCTCCCACCGGTCAGCTGGTCAGCTCTGTGCCTCTGGAACAGACTCCTGCAGAGGAGGAATCCAGGAAATCAATCTCTCGCTCCTTCAAGGGCACCATGGCCAGCAGCACTGAACGTAGGTTTCAATACCACTTTTCAATATATTTTTACTTGCTGTCTTTTTTTTCTTTTTCTTTTTTTTTTTTTTTTTTTTTTTTTTTTTTTTTTTTTTTTAAGATATTATTTCAAAATCCAATGTTTTGCTTGTTTTCTCTCCAGCATGCGAGGATGTCCTGACCCCTGCAGCTGTTGCTGAATCGGCCATGAAAGTTCTCAACGGCTGCCTGGCCACCATGCCTGCAGGTAGGAGAGAGCAAAGCAGACAAATGGCACGCCAAATAAATACTGCTTCACTTAAGTCTTACAACATGAACCATTTCTTCCATTCTGTTGCATTAAATTAAGAATGATGCAGAATCATTCAAGTTTAATCGTCCAGATCTTTTCCTTGCCTCAGCCATTTCTTTAAATCCTCTGAATATCTGCTGACTCATGTAGCACCAAACTCCTTTTTAAGCTTGTAGCTTTTATTATAGGGCCTTTTTTTTTTTTTTTTTTTTTTTTTTTTGTAAAATGCTGACTTACACACTTTGGAAATATAAACATGAACTTTTGTGTTCATTTACTCAGGATTGATATTATTATATGCTATGAAATAGTTCCACACTCACACAGTTTCCTCTCTCTCCAGCCACCAGAAACCCACCCTGTTTGTCCAGACCTCAGTCCTTCCTGTGGGTGACTAAATGGGTCGACTATTCAAACAAATATGGTTTTGGCTACCAGCTGTCGAACCAAAGTATCGGCGTTCTCTTCAATGAAGGAACACATCTCAGTCTTTGTGACCAACGCAAGTAAGTGCCTTTTTTTTTTTTTTTTTTTTTTTTTTTTAAAGAATATTTACTAAGGGCGTCATGTAAACATTTACATAGCGCATAGGACTTCTTGATTGTTATATAAGACTCAGTCGTGCTCAAACTGTAATTATAAGTTTCTGCATTGCCAAAATAGTCATTTCCTGATCATAGGTTTTGATCATAATTAATTGAATATTTTAGGGATTGGTGTCCTCTATCAAACAATTACATTTGTAAATAATGTGGGTTTTTTTTTTTTTGTTTTTCTTCCAAACAGGACAGTCCACTACTGCTTGACCAACAACAAACACTTCAGTTTCCCTGCCAACTCTCTACCTGAGCAGCTTCGCAGCCAGAAACAAATTGTAGAGCTAATGGCCAACTACATGGAACAGAACCTCATGGAGGTATGAGGAATTGTGACTGTTCCAGCTGGTGGGCTGCAGTCGTTAGATTAATCACATATTGACAGATGATTATATACGTTTCATAAGAAAGTGATTGTTTAAAAAGTTTATGTGAAATAAGAAAAAGCCTTCATAACCAACTTATGTTGTATATTTTCAAAGTTGTCTGAGTGCAGTTACATAAGTATATAACCTGACCTTGTGATCTAAACTTAAATGCTTTCTGTCCTCTTCAGGGTGGAGATCTGCATTGTGAGGAACAGGTCTCTGGTGCTCCTCCTCTGCTGCTCCAGTGGGTGAAGACTGACCACGCGCTTGTCATGCTCTTCAACAACGGCACTCTACAGGTTTGAAAATGCACAAACTCTAAATTCAGAATCCTATATACATTTATAAAACACAACGCTGTAAAAAAAAAAAAAAAAAAAAAAAAAGTTACAATTTATAAAACTGTTAGTCAGATGTCATTTTCTATTTTCTTACATTCATCCTCTGTTTCAATCCTTCCAGGTTAACTTCTACACAGACCACACCAAACTCATCCTGTGCAAGTCATCTGATGACTCCTACTTACTCACCTACATCAGCCGGGAACGCGTCTCATACACTTACCTCCTCAGCATGCTTAATGAGATAGGCTGCACCTCCGAGCTACGACACCGACTCCGCTATGTGGTGCAGCTGCTCCAACATCACGCTGATGCCTGAGAGCATAGCTCTGTGCCTCCCAGGCTGCCAGAGCAGCAGATGCCTTAGAGGCAACCTGACTGGTTGACACCTTTTTTTTTTTTTTTTTTTTTTTTTTTTTTTATTTCTTTTTTTTTTTTTTGGGGCAGCCTGACTGGTTGATATCATTTTTCAATGCAGTGCTGGGAGGGGCTGAAGCCTGTTTAGTTGACGGATGGAAGGCTGCTCAACTCCTCTGAGCAATATTCTTGCCTCGACTGGTGCTTAGGCTGCTGATTATCAAACTGACTGACCTTGATGAACATCAAGCAGTCAGGAAGTTGCCCAATGCAGCATCTGCCTGAAGGGTTTGTGCCTGTCCAGCTTATGCCTAAAAGGTATCCACCTGGAAGGTATTGCTACCTAAAATAAGAGACTCCTAGATGGCCTGAAATGTTGGATTCCTCACAGGCAGATGCCTAAATGAACACCCAAACTCCCTATTACCTTCCCTCACTCACTCAGTCAAAACCACTGCTTCTTGGCTGGATCTTTTAAAGCCACCACCCAACCCTGCAGCTTTCAGCTTCCCCTGATATCAGATAACCCAGGCATGGTTTCTCAAAGATATCTAAACACTAAAATTCTCCTCTTTGCTTGCAACGGAACAAGGATAATCTTGCAGCTGGAATGCTTTCAGCTCCATTTTTCTAAAAGTGTTTTGGCAGCAAGGTCATTTATCCCGTTGACTTGCACTGGACCTATGATCTTACAGCAGAGATGCTTTGGGAAGAAGTGCGGTTTGATTGGGGGAGAGAGAGAGAGAAAGAGAGAGACCCTCCTACCCTCGGTTGGTTTCTGGCCTCTTTGGACTATGGTGCACACATTCATTTTTTTCCCCTCCTTTTTAAAACAATTATGAGCCAGCTATAGGATCACACTACGATCTTGACCTCACATGCACAAATAACATTCCTGGCCTTATTTGATGATAGTGATGCTAAAGTTTGGAGAGTCATTGCTGCTTCTGCTCCAACATCACTTTTGTGTTTTTGTTAGATAATCATCAATAGTCAAGTTTCACTGACGTGGTACACAGCATATTAAAGGGGCTATGGGAGCGACACATTTTTGCACTTTTTCCTTTCTTTTCTTTGTAAATTCATCTGGAAAGCAAAATCTTTTACTACCCACTTGTTATATTTTATTTGTTTTTAACTAGATACCAAAAGGCATTTTCTTTGTTGGTTTTTTTAAAAAAATGATTCAGTTTTAAATTCACGTATAGTAGGTGAATGTGAGTGTGCGTGCGCCACACGTGCTGGTAAACAAAACTGTTGGAATATGAGGTTTGGGAGGGTGGGGGAGGGATAAAAGTGCCTTTCTGAGGGATGTCTGTTTAGTGCAATAACAGCCCTTTGTGAATGTCAAGCTGGATACAAACAAGATTCGAGATGGGTTTTACAGGTGGGATTTACTTTTGTACTTGGAGTCAAGTTTAAAAGTAAGTCCACTAGCACTACACTCTCACTACCTGGTATAAGCTTTTAGAACAACTGGTATCATAAGTATATATCCCAGTAATATCTACTATGGAAAAAAAGAAAACATTGTACTCCGTTGTACTGTACTGTAATCCTTATCGGTTTACATTGCTTTCTCGACCCAGAGTTGTATCCTAAAAACTGTGACCTGGAATGCAAGTATTACGTACGTGTTTTCAAAAAACCCAACATTGTGAAAGCCATCTGCCAATTCAGAAAGAGTCTTTATTTTTTGGCACATAATGTCCTGTTTATTTATTTTTATTTATACATGTTTTTTATTTATTGTGTAAATGTTATTGTCTTGACACGAGGAATTCTGATCACCTTTTTGTATTGTAACGTATTTGGGGGGGAAAATGGGACAAAAATAAAGTTTATTGAAAATGATCTAAATTTGCACTCATTATTGCAGACTGAAACTTGTTTTATATCTTTTCATTTGAACTTATTTTAAAGAAGACAGAAGCTTAATTTGAAGTCCTGTCCGGCATTCACTAGATGGACGTGATGGCAGCATGAGTCCATCAAAAGCACAACTTCATAAGTCATCTTACCCTCGACTTGCTGTCTATGCAGACGACATGCTTGTTTATTTAGAAGGTTGACATGAACAGATGCCCGTTTTCATGAGTGATGTGATATACTACTTAAAACTAGAAGGGCATTCGAGAGTGCAGACCTCTGCCAAGGCCGATGTCAAACAACATATACCAGACTTCAGAGAATAAAAAATGGGTTCTTCCCTTGCCCATGAGCCATCCCTCCACCAAGTTCAGTACAAAATCACTTAAGTACTTTTAGCGTAATCCTGCCGACAAACAAACAGACATGTGTGAAAACATAACCTCCTTGGCGGAGGTAACGAATGTCATTCCCTGACTTCTTTATCCTCTACTATTCTACTCTTACGAATCCCTTGGCAAGTATCTTAAATGAAAGGAAAGCAAGTCTTCTACATCTATTAAATGTGACAGGCAGCCTAGGAGGAAAGTTAAAACTGTGATGGTGCCAACTCACAAGGGCAGCCTTGGTAAGGTCTATAAACTGTAGTTGGGCATGCTGTGACTGTTCAGTCTGGGGCTGACTCACATATACTTTGACTCAAGTTTCAGTGTGGACTCTTAGGTCTGTGTGTTTACTTCTTGTGAAGCTTCTTGGGATGTAAGTCAGTGGATTAGGCAAACTTCCCGTAGGAAGTTGGAAACATTTCTATGGCTTATCACATCACTGTGGCAGACAATAATACAGCCTTGCTAGCCCCCCCAACAATCAATTAATTCGTTAAGAAAGACTGGAAAGACACCTTTGACTTTTAGAAGAGTGGTAACTGCATGAAAGTCTTGCAACAGATTAAAGTATACTCTTGTTTTGAAACTACAAATGAACTACAAAATGAAATAATTAATGTACACACATCCCAAAATGGTGTGTTGGCAAAAACGCACATACATCACATCTCACCTGATGAAGGTGTATTGTTAAAATGTTGTAGCTGTACAAAACATTCTGTTAAATGTCAACTTAGTGTGCAGGCACACTAGAACCAACTGCAGTACTTCTGGTGTGTGCTACAGGCATTGAATGACAAACGTCAAATGACAATACAACACACAATGTAGCTGCTGTGTGTTGTTCTAGATACTCGGCTCTTCTTGGTGGGGTCAGTCCTAAAGGAATTTGCCATTTCCTTCTCTGATAAATGTGAACTATAGGAACTACATTCATGGTCTAAACAACCACTGTAAGCCAGTGTAATCATGTTTTATTATTTATCATGTGACAAAGTTGCATTCAAAACCAGATAAACGCCTTACTGTAAGAGACAATCTGTTCTTTACATAGAGGAGATTCTAAACATGACCCTGTTCTCGTTGCCCTGCAGGCTTGAGCAGTAACATCACTGACACCTCAGAGTAAGTTCCTCATCACAGCATCTATACAGTGGCAATAACAACTTCAACAATAACTTAAACAGTGTCTGCAGGCTAAAGCCTATGAATTCCTTATAATAGCTTTGGTACAGACTTGAAAAATGAAGAAAACTAAGTAGCCTGTTCTATGACACTACAACTCGTTGAGGTGTCATTACAGCCCAGTGTGATGTCAAAATCATTTCTTGCTATTCTCACTGTAATAATGTATGGTAATGTAGTATATAATCAGTATCATGGAAATTAGTAAACAGCACACAAGATCAGGGCATCATCATGACTTTTATATGGATTTAGCTGATAAAAATTAAAATTGAAATGATTATTCTGAAATGTGAATTCATTTTTTACATCTAACCAAAAACTGGAGTATATTTGCTGTTTTTATTAAAAAAATGGTAACATATAAAAAAAGACCTGGATAAAAGCAGCTGTTTTTTTTATCTGTCTACATCTACATAGTATCAGCTGGCAGACTCCATCTTCAGATAAGGAAAAAATAGTTGGAGGTTGTGATGTCAATGACAGAGTCACATTATTGTTTGAAACTTAACAAGAATGTTGTAAGACAGGGACACATTTCTTCTGTCAAGGTTGTTGGTAAAAGTTTCTATACCTATGAATACCTTGAAAAGACAGAGTCCAGCTGTTAATTACAGCCAACAACCAGTTCAGTAGAAACCAAGTGCTGGCAGAGGATTCATAAACTGTCAACTGCACTTTGTAAAATTACCCATCTTACCCAAAATCCCATTTTCAAACTCCTTTATCTTGATCTCAACTACACACCTGTAAAGTTTTGTGACAGTATCTCACTTGGTTGTGACATTCAGTTTTAACATGGTGACAAAATCTGTCCCTAGACATATTAACATCTGCCAAAGTATTCAAAACTGCCCCTGTGTTAGTGCCTGTTAGCCCTGCCGTCGCAGCTGGTAACAAGCACATATCACATACATGGATATGAACATAAACACGTGATTTCATACTTGTCCACATACACACAGGCAAGTTTTGCATTCGGCCCAAAAAAGCACATATTCATACGCACATGAGGTAGGCCTACACCAGATGGGTAACCAGCAGATAGCTCTGGTTGTCTGACAGATGCATGCACACACACATACAGCCTGGCTCATTGCCACACTCTCAGCTGTTGTTATGATGCAGCACTGCTCCTTTCAGCCATGGACACAGGCAGAGAGGTAATGAGAGCCAATGCAGCCTTGTTAGTGGCTTTTTTTTGTGTTGTATGTGTGTCTGAGATTGGCAGCTACTCTAAGAAACCCCACAGAGGCAGAGAGGGAGAGAGAGTGAAATGTCGTCAAATTTCCCTCCTGATTGCAGGCCGGAATCTGGGGCAGCAGCAAGAGATCACAAGGCTGCTTTGATGTGACTCAGAGGCCAAAATGTGCTGATTCCACATCTTTAATTGCAGTGTGAGACGTTCACTTCACTCCACTCACACCCAGTTATTACCTCAGAGGTCTAAATGGGATTCTCCACTCTCAAATGCCTTTCTGCAGTCAGCATCTAATATGATAAAAGAAATCTTGTTACTGATCAATAACACACATATCCTAAACCTGTACCTGTTTGGCCTGAGCTTATTGAATGCTGCTTTTTAGGCCAGTA